CGGATATTGCCAGACGCGATGACTTCTCGTCTATGATGAGGATCCAGATAATAGCAGCCAAAAGAGAGTTTCCTTCCGGGATTCCGACGATAATAATAATAATAATAATAATAATAATAATAATAATAATAATAATAATAATAATAATAATAATAATAATAATAATAATAATAATAATAATAATAATAATAATAATAATAATAATAATAATAATAATAATAATAATAATAATAATAATAATAATAATAATAATAATAATAATAATAATAATAATAATAATAATAATAATAATAATAATAATAATAATAATAATAATAATAATAATAATAATAATAATAATAATAATAATAATAATAATAATAATAATAATAATAATAATAATAATAATAATAATAATAATAATAATAATAATAATAATAATAATAATAATAATAATAATAATAATAATAATAATAATAATAATAATAATAATAATAATAATAATAATAATAATAATAATAATAATAATAATAATAATAAGAATAATAATAATAATAATAATAATAATAATAATAATAATAATAATAATAATAATAATAATAATAATAATAATAATAATAATAATAATAATAATAATAATAATAATAATAATAATAATGATAATTATTATAATTATTATAATGATAATTATTATAATTATTATAATGATAATTATTATAATTATTATAATGATAATTATTATAATTATTATAATGATAATTATTATAATTATTATAATTGCAACGATAATCCTTATTATAATAATTGCAATAATGATTTTTATATTATAATAATTGCAATGATGAAAAAGGATTTGAGGACATGATGTTCTTCACCGACAATGCATGTATGTTCTTCCCACCTCAGTCAGCTTTGCTCACGTCTCCCCCGATCAAACGATATTGTCGCCTGATTCTCCCCTATGGCAAAGGTGGATATTCAGTCGGCGGTCATGAGCGGTTAACTGATTCAAAACACAATATGAACCCCACGGAAATCGCTCTCTACCATCCTGGAGGGAGAATTTTTTTAGCAACCTATTCGTGCACACCTATTCAGTATTGAGGTATCTAGTTCGGAGAGCGGAGAGAGGGGTCCTCGGCATTCATCAACGATCATTCTCGCCCGCTCGCAGAGATGATCTTGCTCATCCTTCATCATTCCGGTGGAGGTACATATATAACAACTCACTCGATCACATTCCAAATAATGATTCAATCCTCTGCCATATCTGAGATCTATTTGATATTTCTTGATTTCTGTCGCCGGAACGCATATTTATCATGGTCAAGCGATGATCTCCGAGTGCTTCCTTCCGCATCTTTTCTCAGAAAAATTCCGATGGAACATTTTTAATCGATATCACACAGTGCGATGAGCTTACTCGCGTGCTACGTTGTAATAAAAAAGGCGTCCTCTCAAACGCGAGAATTCCGTTCAAATAGCCGAAATTTTTTGCAGTATTTGGACTGTGATTCGAAAATCGGGTGAGTGCGGGATGCCGACTGAGTGACTGACTTCCTCACGCTCGACTTTCCGGGAATACGCCCCAGTATCATCCATCGGAACTCTTGGTCGATTCTTCAGTCCCGATTCCCATAGCAGAGGGTGAACCAAATAGTTAAGCCGAAGCTGAGTTTTCCGTAACGCTATACACTATAGTCACTGGGTCCATCGTTTATTCCAGTCTTTTGTTGAGGGATATTCTTGAATCGCGAGTTTGCGTATTAACTGTTCCTTCTTACATAACCTTTACATTAGAAACACCACACCCGCTCACATTCAAAAGAGGCTTCTCTCATTTCTCGATGTCTACATTGGTTTCAATAATTGATCAATCATTTGATAAAGTGTTAATAATAGCAACAATCGGAAGTCATTTTCTTTCATACTCGTTCTCTCTGGAGAAATCCTTAGCGGAGTCCGCCAAGTCTTTCTGGTGGTCCAAACTCTCGGGGAAATTCTCAAGCACTTGTTCCGCAGCTCGGTGTCCCTCTCAGACGAGAGCACCGAAGCTGAGAGGACCGACGATGATAGGAGATCATCGCGTATTTAGTGGGAAGAATGGGAATCAATTCCCATCGTCTTTGAGAAGAAATGTGGGGAATGAAGCGCTTCGTTCGGACCGAAACTCTCAAAGTAGGTAACTCTTGAACATATATTTCTGCGTTGCTCGGAGCGTATCATATCTGTCGGAAACTCGCTCTCGTGAGAAAAATTACTCCACGGAATTTGCATTGAAAATGCTGTTCGAATGGATTTCTTCGTCGAAATGAGAGCAGCCGGGTTGATACGATACATTTCTAAAGTACGTATGCTTCGTTTGTATATTATCTGAAGCAATGGGGACTCGAACTTCTCATCGCCTGTATCCTTGGTTTCTCACATGTCTCCCACGCCAATCATACATCGGAGTATCATACTCGAACTTATCAGTATTTGTCTCAGAGCGTTGTTTGCGCTTCCGTTTCCGTTTCTTGGAAGTTTGATTTTGGTTCGGTTTCTTCTCCTAGAGTCTATCCCGTTAAAAGCTCACAGGTTCGAACAGGGCGTTCGGTGGAATTGAAGTTGATTTTCTTCAAGTTTCACACGAGCTGCAGATATAGACGAGATGTGACGACGTGTTTCGGACCTCGACGACGGCGACAACGACGATCTTCTCAGTCAGCAGACAGGAGCAATGACCGACGGAAGACTCTTCGGTGGAGAAGCAGGATCTGGTATCTAGTCCCTCAATCAGACTTCCTCACGATTTAGTGGGCCTGTTATCCATCCTATTGGCAGACCTTCGGGACAAGCCAGGTCCCAACTCGGTGACCTTCCCCTTTGGATCCCTCCAAATGATGACAGAATGAAATCTGTCATTCTCGCCCCAGAGTCTGTCGTCATTGCTCCTCCCGTGGAATACGGAGTCAAACAGAGTCTCCTCGATGCCAAGAAGTCTCCAGCAGACACCGCTCACGATGGCGTCATCTACATTGCGAAGTGTCCCAGCCAAATGTCTGCGAGAAGAACATCCCCGCTCGATAGGCAGTGACGTGGGTTCGACGTCCTTCCCGTTGGGTTCTGTGTTTGAGAAAAGGGACGTTCCGATCCCCATCAGTACAGGATTTCGAATCCAGCGCCGATCCCCACCACGGAAAACAATCAACCGTCGTTCTACTCATACTCCGACGTCTTCTCTCAAGGGAAGTCGGACGGAGGTTTTTTTGTTCAATTGTTCTCTACGGTGATTGTTGCAACCGCTGCACATGACGGGCCATGAGGGAATAACAGGGACGCTATCCACAGACGAATCGTGGAGCACAACGGATATCGCAAGCCCCCTTGATTTCCAGGCTCTTCTGGGACCTAGAAGCGGAACGAATGACGATCGATCGTCGTGTCTGCCGGTAGGTCAGCCACAGAATCTTTTTTTCATGTTGGAATGCATTCGATTGGTCGTCTATTATGGAGTAAGTGTTTTTGGCCTCAGTATGACTGTTGTCAGTTGATTAAACCAGCTATATTAGCTTTCATCAATCCACCGATCGATCATAGTCAGCCTTGCACCCCCCTCCTGTTGCTGCTATCCATTGACTCTGTCTGTCTGTCTGGTTGGCTGACTTTCTGCCTTAGCTCATTTTTCTCATCTGTCAGTCGCTTTCTACATTGTCATTCTCCTCGTAAGGGCCACGGGCTTCGGGCAGTTGATCGGCTTTCTTAAAATCGTTTCCATTCGATAATATTTATGATGATGATATTGTTGTATCGTGATTTCATCAGCACATACGCCCGCCGCGCTGCAAGGTCTGCCTTGTCAGGGATACATCAGGACAACACAACGGCAGTTTACAACCGCCCAGCTCGATGAGGAGATGCTACTCATCAAAAAGGTATCTCAACACCGATTCGGACTTCCTACTCAAACCGTTCATTAATCTCAGTCTTTCTAGAATCTAATATAACTCGGTAATCACGAAGAATCAACCATCATAGCATGTGTGTGTAATTCTATGGTGCGAGTCGAATGAGTGTTACTTGAACGCACTCACCAAGCGCTTAGCAGGAAGCTTTGTCTCGCCGCCATATTATTCAGAAATTCATCACCCACGCGATCAGAGTACACTCTCAGAAGCAGAAAGGGAAAGGAAGGAATGGAACGAAAGTGATCGCTCCATGTCGTAAACTATAGAGCTTGAATTTCGGCCACCGCGATCAGGTCGTCGACGGTAAACGTCGACGAGCCTCAACCGCCATCTTCGGATGTATCGTACAAGATCAGCTTTGCCTAGAACACATTCGACTTGCACTCAACAGCATGACGGCAGTTCAGTTTTGATTGTGGTGAACAATAATAACAGCGCTGCTCCTCCTCCTTGAGTTTTGGGATGGGAACGTTTTTTTCCCTCCGCTTGTAATCTCCGAAGCAGCAACAAGAAAAAGGACGGAAACGACGAATTCCTCCGTGCAATGCCTTGTTTGCAACGGAGCCTGGCACGATTCACATACCCAAGTAAGAGAGCTCCGAATAAACGTCGTAATACTCCGAAGCGGAGGAAAAAACGTCCTGCCTCGAGAGGCGCCGTTTCGCAGACTTTTCTCGCTCCCGGTAGAATCCAAAAGAAACGGGGTTCTCCGTGCGCAGATATTCTTTTCTGACGGCGAAAACAAGGCGAAGAAAATCAGAAGAGGAAGAAGTTGCATATATAATCGTAAATTACACTGGGTCATTCCTGAAAGAAGTCGTCGCCGTTCCGAGATATTACATATCGTTGTTGGGCTGAGACGCCTCGTCAAGTCCAACGAACGTATACGAATGAGAGATGAACAGTAGTACAAAATTCAATCAGGACAGACAGGTGGATAGCGTCGCCTCTGAAAAGCTATGATCGCTCGTGATGAATGGAATGATGACTCTTCGAGAATCATGGCGAAAAGAGAGGCGACGTTGAGAACGTCGCATCCAGCCGCATCTCTTACACCGCATGAAGCTCGTTCGTTTATGATATCAGAGGCACGTCGAGTATTTCTTCATCTGGAAGAGGTGGGAACGGTTCGGTGGGTTCATCGTCGCCTGAAAAAAGGGAAGCGCGCTTGAGCTTCAAGACCGAGACGTGTGCCCCTGTTCCCTCAATCCTCTCGCTTCCCGCGAACTAAACGGGGGTGGATTCGATCTGGGACGAGGACGACGACGCGACGCCGCGTCACCGTCGCCGTCCCCGTCGCAGTAGATATTATGCGTAGGTTTGTCAGGAGTCGTCGTGCTCGCCGTTCGTGGAGCTGCTCTATTCTTAACGCCTCATCTGGCGGCGAGCTCCCAATCTCCCTTCCTCTCCGGTTCGCCTCCGCTTCTATCAGTACGGAGGGGGGATGAAAAATTGCGTGGAAAGGAGCAAATAGTGGACGAGACGCTGCGTTCCTCCGAGGAGGTCGACTAACAGCCGACTCCTCGAACATAATTTGCTCTTTCCTATTTCGTGCGCGCACTGGATTCCGCTGTCATCATAATCGGGAGATTCCCGATTTTCGAGATTCAGAGAAAATCTCACGAATCCGGAAAGAAGTTCCCCTGATTTTGGGGGGGAGCCGTACCTTACAGCGGGAAAGAGTCATTTAGAAGTCGGAATCGACACTATCACGTACCTCTGCTAAGATCTTTTTCAGTATGCCGCATATTTCGGTTATTCTTTTCGTGCATCGTATTGGTCATGTTGTGTTGCTGGTTGTTGTAACTGTTGTTGTTGTTGTGGTGTTGTGAATAGATGATGCTCCGCATGATTTCCATGGGCAGTGGAAACACGATGGTGGAATTCTTTTCGGCCGCGATCGATGTCAGTGTTTGCAGATAACGGAGCTGCAACGCCGATGGAGTTTCCGCGATCACCTCTGCCGCCTCTTTGAGCGATCTAGAAGAAACAAAGGCGTGTTGATTTGTGTGATGCCCGAAACGGCCAATCGACCCAGCTTCTGGTACGTTTGCCCGCCTGCTCGACCGACCGTCCTCCGGTCCCATCGTCAGTCCATGAGAGTGACTAACACCGTCGATCGATAGTTCGGTTAGAAACTCGCTAGCTCACTCCGACGGGCGAAGGTTCGGTCGGCAGCCAGGAAGATCGCTGAATCAATTTTTCGGTGAACCCTTCATTCGATAAACCACGGGTCGTCGATGGCTCGGAGGGAGCCACTCGTTTCTCTTACCGCGAAGCTCTCTGTTCTCCTTCAGCAGCAATCACTTTGGCCCTAGCTTCTCGGGTCGCTTCTGCTTCAGCCGCCATGGCCCTCTGGAGTTGTACGGGCAGTCGAACGTCTTTTCTGTTGGTCAGAAAATGAAAAACAAGCGTTCGTGAGTGTGAGGGTAGTCGAAATATGCGGTTAGCCATCGAGTCGGTCAATTCACTGCTCCGAGCGGGTCGGATTCTCCGATTCCGCTGGAGCCAAGGTTCGTCCCTTTGCGAAAAATGCCGATGCAGTTTCGGCGCAGAAAAGGTCTCGCTCCGAGTTTATTCGGATGGGACGCATATTCTCTTTGTTATGGCCCTGGAAGCAAAGTGACGAATTCCCGGAACGGGTCCAGGATCGTTCCTCGTGGCAGAGGAGACGGGCTCGGAAATTTCCCTCCGGTGAGCGTTTGAAGAAGAGCTTGAGGAGCTTTCTCGGAGGGAGGAACGATATTCTCTATGAAGCATGAGCTTCACTCACTCACTCGTCGATGCGAATATGCTTTGATTTCAAGGTTCCAGGGTATGTATTGACATGTGCCATTTTGGTTCGAAGGCAACGTATTGATCTCGAAATGCCACAACTAAGACGGGAGGCTGCTCTGTATTGAAGTTCATTGAATTTTTCCTCGAGGGAATCGGGACTCACATTTCAACTCGTTCCACTTTCACTCCCCACGAATCTGTCGCTTCATCGAGGGAAGACTGGAAAGAAAAGAAAACTTTATTTCAATGCCTACCTCGAATACTCTCGGAGACCTAACTAATTTTGCACATGGTCTCGATTGACGTTCTTGGTTTCGGGAGAAAGTTATAAACGTGAATCTTCAGAAGCGGGTCGCTATCCTCCGGAGTTCTCCATAATATCTCGAATTCGGCTTCGTATGCGATCTTGATTCGGATCCCTGTCCAAGATCACAGCGCCCGAGACGGAAGATTTGGAAGAACCTCACGCCGGGACGCGGTATCCCACAAACCTCAAAGAGTCAAGTCAGGCGTGTCTCTATATGAATATTTGCTCAAGCCAGCCAGTTGTACTGGACGTTTCCCATGTGAGGAGCCCAATGTGAGGAGATTTATTCGAGCTTGGAAAGCAGACCACTTTCGGTGCATCTCCGTGTGGGAAAAGGGGGGATATCAATTGAAAAATATGCATCGCGTGATAGAAAAAGAGAACTTTTACCCCCGCCGTGTTCGCTGCCTCCGCCGCGCTTCCGGAGACAAGGGGAGGGAAACGCTGCGCGCCAGCCTTCGACTGATTGGTGCGCTTGCGAACAATGGCCTCGGTCAGACCCACACACAGACAGGAAGCGAAGCAGGAACAACACTGCAAGCAGCGGAGCATTTTTGCGAACCGCAATCATCTATCACCGAGATGCTCCCTGCTCAGCAGTTCTGTTAGACCTTACAAAATGAGTTGCACGCTGCGCTGGCGCCGCAACAGCATGGGCGTACATACAAAGGGTCGTCTGCGCAGGTTTACATGGTCCCCAGGAACGCTGGCTGCCGTGCTCTCGGGATCGTGCTGCGGATTCCAGGGTCTACTGTGCGAGAATATCGATGAAGATCGCGTATCCGCCTTCCCGTTTTTTGAGAACGTCAAGGGACGTCTCAAGGGAAGAACGTCGGTGGTTCATCTGACGCAACAAACATGCTTTCCACCAGGAAGTGGCTGTGCATACATATGGTCCCCTACAGGGTCCCCTGATGATACAACGGAGGCTGAGCTCCCTTTCCGACTGTGCACTTCAGTTTACCCTCGACTTTCGTCTTCGGAAATATGTATACGCGGAATCATCCCCTAGCTCAGTGGCGGCCACTAATGCAGGATCACGAGTTTCGCGCAATTATCGTTATTAAGGAGAGCTCCTTCGAAGAGCAGGCTCCCGGATCGAGAGAACGCGAGTGCTCGCCCGGAAGGTGAAAAGAATCTACTTCTGGTGGAAATTCTGATCTTCCGAGCGGTATAACCTCACTTGTTTCAGGGATTCTTGCCGCGAATCTCGGCTCCCCGATTACCGGAACTGGATAATATAAAGGTGCGCCCGTACTTTCACACTCGAGTCAGTTGCTCGTAGACGGCAAATTTGGTATTGAGAATACATTGACCGAATAGCCCCAGAATTCCGAGAGCACTCACAATAGATTGGACCCATATCCTCGATCGGAAACTGTCACTGAGTATTAAATGGGCGCGGAGGGGGGGGGGGGCTCGAATGTTTTACGACAAGAGCTTCACTATCCAGCTGATTCGAAAGTTCATGACCGTTCCATATAAGGTCCCTCGATTCCGATGACTCCCGATCCTCGGACATTTCCCCGTGGCGGAAACTCAATGGTAATGCTCCCGACGACAGGTCTAATGAAAATCGAATCTCCTATCTCCTTAACAGTTGTTCAATGGGCTTACCCCTCCGATTGAGGGGGGGAGCCTCTCAGACTGAGGAGCGGAGTCCACCGCGGATTCGAGGAGCCTGCGACGCGAGAGCAGTGGGTGCTCAAAACTGTCGCCGTGGGGACGGCTTGGAGCGCAACGTCGTTGTTGACAGATATAGAGAATCTTCTAGGCTAGGGACTTCCGCACGGAAGTCTGAGAAGAACACCCATGGTTTATATCAGTCCGGCTGTCGAACAGAACAAAAGCTTCGGAGGAGGAGCTCTTCTCAACGCTCGTTGGCTGATTGCGAGCGAAACATACTTGGTCATCAGTGAGACGTCCCGATCGGCGATTTCGAGGCACACTATTTCGGGAAGAGTTTCTGGAGCAGGTCTTCTATAGGTCGGATGTCTCTGACGTTTGAGGGGGAAAGAGATTCCAATAAAGCGGTCGGACGGTCTGTCGATTCCCTCTCGGAGGAGTCTTGTTCGTAGGCCAATGTCTCCTCTGCTGGTCTCTAAGGAAGGATCAGAGACTTCCCGTTGTGATTCATTTTCGGAACAGGGAAGCAACTCCGTAATTCAATCGATGAGATCACAGAGATGATTCCATCTTCCGCAAGGGCTTCGCTTCCGAGGAAGATTGATGATATGTGTCTCTCAGAAGATTGCCTCTGGATCTTTCGGCTAGCTAGTTGGCGTTCATGACTTTCGTTCCTGCGGATCTCGTCTCCGCGTCGATTAATAGCTAGCCGACTTCAAAATCGAGAGATTCCTTCTATCGGAATTTCTGCGTAGAAACCGCTCAGAGACCCTTTCAAAAGTTTGAAAATCGGCCTGACTGCGCCCATCCCTTTCATCGTTGGCTTTCGACGACGATCGCGAAAAGAAACGGAAAGGAAAGTCAAACAACTGGGACTGAACGTCGGTAGCCGTGGTCCGGTTCCTCCGACTCATCCGTTCACCCGTTTTCGGTCTAGGAACGACTTGCGCCCCGTTGCGGCTCACCCGGTCTCCGAGCCAGTCATCGAGTGTGTGAGTCAGTCAGTTAGTCACTCAGTCACCGCTCTCTGATTCGACTATCGATGATTCGTCTGATTCCTCAATGAGGTCCTTGTGTACTCAGCTCGGCGGAGGAATCTGGGGAACTCACTTTCATGATGTGAAATCTCTCTCGCCGACGGGAGAGCCACCTCCACCCCTTGTCGCCAAGCAGGGGCTCGGCTGAGTCGTCCCCCCACCTCCCACTTTCAAGGAAATTCTGAGCTACGCAGACCACAAATGAAGATGAACGATGTCTTATTGTTTGGACGAAATCTACTTAACTCCGCTCACTTCTCCCTCGCGCACAACTTCGAAGACGATACGGCGACACCCACCATAGCAGAGGGAACAGAAGGAGGACGTCGTCGTCGACGCAGCACCCGACAACAACGACAACGACAAAAAAGCAAGAAAAGTACGAAGATTGCTAAAACGACGACAACGTCGAGGATGACTTCTCTGGGCTACAAAGACAGACAGCCTTGTCCAGCAGTAGAGCAGGCTGCAATCTTATCGTTTGTTGGTCGAGTCGCGAGACTTTGCCATCACTTTTGTTTCGTCATGTCGAGAGCCTCTCGGCTTCCTCGTTTGTGCTCAATGTCTCACTGCTCAAACTGTGCATTCCGCGAAGATGAGATGCGCTCTAGACTTGTCGTCTCGCGGGCACAGCGAACCCCTCCCAGAACGTCGAGAGAAAATTATCTGCAACAACTGTTTGCTCCCGAACAAAAATCATCTGCGGCTTTAGAGATGATTCCCCATCCGTACGTGACGAGAGCGTGATCGAATGAAGCCTACCTCTTGGACAGAGTTCGGACGTCCTCTGTATGGTTCTTCGGGATTTCGTAACGAATGACATTCGGACGGTCCCATTTGCAGCGGCTTGAACGTTCTGCATATGAGGGCAATGAGAAGCGATTTTCGCAAGATCGCGTCGCGATCTCTCTTCTCAGATGACCTTCTTGTGCCGTGAAGATGACTCTCCGCCCTGAATCGTTTTTCTCCATCGCTTTCGCCTTCTGTCTCCTTTTTCTCCACCCTTTTCTCGGCGAGCCGTTTGCTGAACCCCGCAAACGTTGTTCCGGAGCCGTAAACGACGCCGACTTCCGGTGGGGAACAAAAATTCTTGGTAACCTGCGATATTTTCCATAAGGCTTCTCAACTCATGGCGGCAGAGTCTTTCCTCCGGCTGCTCCTCGCACGGCTGGAAGTGGGCCGTCGATGGCCTGCCGATTCGAAGAGGGACCGATCTGTCCGTCATCGCACCACGGAACGAGCCGAGGGAAGTGCGCGAGACGAAAATTGCGACCCGGGTGGAGTGTCTTTCCTGGGAAATCCACTTTCGAACACGGGCGTCATCGGATGCCCGCTCGCAGCGATGCGATGACCGTCGACGCTTGACGGGATCTCAGACGGAACGGGGAGTTTTTTGGTTGCTTTATGGCTAGCCGAGCAGTCAGCCAGCCAGCGATCCATTCCGCGTCGTCGTCGTCATCATCATCATCTTGCCGCACTGCAAGTTAGCTTCTCGCATCATGATTACAGCATTCAAAGACGAGTGGCGTTAGTTTCGCATGCAGATCACAAGGCCGTCACATCTAGCTGAGAGCCGGGTGAGACCATTCGGGCTAAGCTCAGCCGGGGCAGCAGTTGACGCCGCGCTGGCAGCAAGTCGCCATCGACGCGAAGACGACTTGTGAGCCTCGGGAAATAGAAATTACGTCTCGTGCTCTTCGTGCTCGGTCTGAGTGGACCCCGCGGAGGCGTCTTTCACTTAGCTCGATTCCTAGTGAAAGCGATAGGGCTCCACTCCGAACACGAAGTGAAAAATTCTGATTGGCCATGGGGCTATAATCCAAGTCCGTAGGCCTCGCCAACGAGGCACCGAGATCGTGACGGCGCAAGGCGCTGCGTGTTCAGGTGCTCGACTCGCATTGTGTCATATGAGACTCGCCGAAGATGATGAATCGTTTCGATCATCATTAGACCGCTATCGACGTCAACAAGCTCGTCGAGAGCAGCTGCGAAACATCGACGAAGTCATCGAAGTGGCTTCTACGATGCTACGGAGAAGCCTGCTCGTGCATCTGACCACTATTGGCCATGGTGGCGATCAAATGAGCAGGCTGCAATCAGCAAATTCCATCAAGAAGAACGAGCTGAGCAATTTGTTCAGGCTCTCCGTGGCCGAGACTCTGACGAACATCGCTCGGTCGCAGCAAGCGGACCCTGCCGTTTCGTGGGTCGCGGGTGAGAGTAATCCATCGGCCAAGGAGAAGGAACTTGCGGGAGCTAATCCACCAGCGCAAGCGAGATCGAGGTTCGCTCATCTGGTCTCTGTGGCACGCTACGATTATCGCAATTTTCAATCACGTAAATTGAGAAGGACCCCGAAACGAAACTTTGTTGCTCATCCATCCGTTCCCCACTGGGACTCCCGGACCTCGAAAACGTCGCTGAATTCCGCGTCTGACTGAGATGGGGGCGGACCATCACTGAGCAGAAGATTTCCTCCGGAGCGCAGAATCATGCTGCTAGCGCAACTTTGATATCGATCCTACGTGCTTTGAATTTTTTCGCGTCGTTATGGAATCCACGCAGAAAAAATTAGCCGCCGTTTAATGACGCTTGTGCTTGCCGCGCGAGCCGTAAACTTGGGAGGCGTCTGCAACAAGGAGCGGAGTTTTGCGCCGAAATGAATACCGAGGACAAAAACAGCCGACCGATATATTGGCCCCGAAGCAAGAGACGAGGGAGGAACAACCTTGGCGAGAACATCGGCGGGCCGAAGCATCGGGCAGCGAGTGGAGCATCTCCAACATAACGGGAACCCCTTGCGCAACGAACGATCAGAATTCCGATGAGCCTCGGCGCCCCAATGGCCGTTCGGACGAAACCGACGGATTTGGAAGGATCGGCAGCCCCCGAGCAAATCAGATCTCGGAAAGCACGTCCATTTCGCTCTCCCGTCCGCTAGCCGACGACGCTCGTCCAACAGAAAAGGGAGACAGAGCCCTGGGAGTCAGGAATAACTCCCATAATCTTGTGATGCTGATGATGTTGCTGCTGCCTCGTGACTTCCCGCGAGGTCGAGCGAAGTGTTCTCCTACGATAATGCAAGAAGCCGCGAATAGAAAGCGCGGAATAATAAATCTACAACAACAGAGCTCCCGAGAGAGTAGACGAGTAGGACAACAATAATTCGTCTCTACTATTCTTCTCGTCTCTACTATGCCTCTCTTCCGTTGGGATCCGGAGCCCGGAGTTCACCAGTGATTCCCATCTGAGGGAGCCCCATTCACGGCAATGATCGACTCGATCGTCAGCTGGGGGTGATTCGATCGGAATCGAGCGCGCTATCTTGAGGACCAGGCGATCGAGGAGCAGAAATTGATTCACTCACCTGCATAACGTGAGATATAGACTCGCGTTCAGATAGGATTTCCGATAAGTTTTTTGTTCCGAGAACGTTCCGAAGTGTGGTGGCGGCCAGCAGGCGTGTAGAGTGGCCATAATCCTCTACATTGGTGATCGCGATTGTGGCATTGCTGATGCGATAGTAAACGACAGCGTCTACAGCCACCGTCACGGAGTCCTTTGAGAGTATCTGTGGGGTCGAGGGAACGGGGTTCATATACGATGCTATTCGGTGCCTCCCGTCCGTCACGGAAAAACCCTGCGGCGGACACATCCTCAACACGAACTCGTCCTTTCAGGAGCCATCTAGTAATACAAACCTCCTGAGGTGGCACGTCAAAAGACACAGTACGGAGATCAACCTTGCTGTAGGTGTCGATGCATGGGATAATGAAGAACAGACCTGGAATATTGAGGAGAAATTCGAAATTAATCGCCTGCAGCCCCACGGCTCTCATCGCCAGGTTTTTATACGTTCGCGTCGCTCGCAACCGCTACCATCGTCGTCGCTCCCGAGGCCACGGCCATCGTCGCCGTGATCGGAGCCGCCGTTAGCAGCAAACTCATAGCTGCTAACGTTCTTCCCCTCGGCATAATCATATCCTGCTCTGGAGTAGGTGAAAGAGCAGCTCTTTGAAGTTGCAACACTTGTGACAGGTTTTATTTAAACACTTTCGTTTGTGCTTTTCAACGAGCGAGTGACTGCCAGTTCACAGCAGCAGTTTAGAGATTTGTCTCGCGCTTCGTTCGCCTGCTCTGTAGCTGCTTGGTCGGTCGGCTGGACGCTTGGCTGCATAAAGCGCCCGGGGCTCGATAATCAAGATAAACATCAATGATGCTACAGGAGCGTCAGAGGGGCGCACTCTACTTTCCTCTACGGTGGTAACAACAACAACAATGTCGAGGCATGCGACGAGAAGGATGGCGGCGCGCGGAAGCAGCGGCCGGGAACAGCACAGGCGGCTTTCAGGAAATGAGATCTCTGCAGAACCAGGCAAAAATTATCGCCTTGTCGGTAGCTGTCAGAGGGCTCGCCGACGCTTAGGTGGTCCGTGGCCGAGCTCCGCTGATCTCGCGAACGGAGCGTAGGTACTCAGACTACAGTTACAATCGATCGTTCTTATCTCGGCGATAATGGTAACGGCGGGGCTCCTTCGCAAACTTCTGAAGAAGCTCAAGCGTAGCACATACAATCCTGGACTGGAATTGTTCGCTAGGTTCCCTCAACTTCCCTACGGGGAGAGGGGAAGAGATTTCCCGGACGAGAAGAGGAACAGCGAGTAAAAACGTCTCGTTACTCCCTCGTTCGGGTTTCGACTTTTGCGATACGTTTTTTCTTCCGGAATCGCGAACGAGCCAGTTGTCGGGACTTCTGCAAGGGTTTCTTGTGATGCTTCTTTGGCATAAGAATTGGGATGCACTAGACATGCAGAAGAGAACTCACCCGGTCCTTTGGCGCCGCCTTGAAGCAGTCGACCCAGTCGGAATATCACTGCTCTCTCGTATTCTTGAACGATTTTAATGCAAAGACAGAGAGAAAATGGAAACGTGGCGCCGATGACGAGGATGGAGAATACGGTGAGGATTTTCGTACAGTAGCCGGTACTGTTCGACGCTGGAAGGGAGGCAGAAGGAATGTCATTAGACGTTCGCCGGTGAATAGAACTTTGTTGCGTCGAGGGTGCAACATCTTTGAGCAGAGATGTCCGAAAAGAATAAGCGTGACTACGACTACTGCGATCATGATGCTACGGCGGAGGCGACATCATCAACTCGCAAAGTTCTCCTCTCGGAGCACAGTCGAGCTAATGAAGAGATAGAAGGCTGCTCCCAAACGCATCGAAGATAATGTTTCACGAAGGAGCAATACGAGAGGAGGGTGGGGGAGCAGGAAAAAAAGCGACGCTAGAACACGGCCGAGTCTAATAGACCGCCAACAGGAACAACGTTTCTGTTCTAATTCTTTTTCCGTGGAGCAATGTCATCTAGACGCAACGACCGTTCTCGGATCGGAAGAAGGGACAGACGGAGAGTTTTCTTGTCAAATCAATAGGAACGTGCCCGTCTACGGGAGGACCATTTCGAGGCATCCATGGGAGAAGGTACTTCGTTTCGGCGAACATGGCATTCATACGTGAAGACGGAAAGGAAATTGGGAGCCTCTGAGCCGACAGGAGTTGCCCGCTCGTTGAGTGCGGATGACTGCCTGGAGCAATCAATCAACACTAGTGTTGGCCTGTCCGGGCTCATGGTCCTCTTTGTTATTCAGTCAGTTAGGGATTCGGAACAGCAAACAAGTCTCTCAGTTTTGCCTCCTTGACCTGAAACCCGGATCCCATATCGCGTGGACTCCACGTAATCTTTACGAGCTTCAGCAAAATACATATACATACATATTAGAAGGCGAGCTGCCGGCGAGCACTTCGACCTACTCGATAACCTTTTACGGCGTGTGAGCTAGCTACGTAGTCGGCGACGAGGAGCGATAATCGCCTTTCCTTTTGGCGAAACTAGTCCTTCCTTCCTTTCCGAGGACGAGAGCCTTCACCGCACATCCTTCATTCCCGAGCAGAGAAGATTGAGACAAACCACGACAGCGAACCAAGCACTTGGAGAAAAGACTAATTGATCCCGTCTATTTGCCGACGTGGAATGGAAGGAGAGGAAGGCAGGCAGGCAACGGATTCGATGCGGATCTTGACTCCGAATCGCGTGATGTTCACTTAGCGGAGGGAGCCGACTCGCGAGAGTAAAAACTAGCAAAGAGAGAATTCGGAATTCAAATCTGCTTTCCCACCTCCACTCACCAGAAAACCCTCGGGGGGCTTCCGATGGCTTGCTGGTGAGTGGCAGTGGTGACGGCCACAGCGGCAATGACAGCCGTAGCGGAGACAGAAACATGTCGGCTCGTCATGGGACGACTACAGCCTGCTGTGGTTTGCGTCTGCGAACTTCTCCCGTCTACTGGTCCGCGGGGCGATTGCCGCTCGCATGTCAGGCTGTCAGTCGGCCCGGATGTCCCGCTTGCGAGCTCGCCCTTGTTCCCCATCGCCTCTATCGGTTGCTGTACTCGAGGAACAACCGTCATTGGTCGAGAAAAACATTCCCTATCATGCGGGAATGCTTACCGACCGTCGTGAGATCGTCATTTTCCATGCCGTCGATCGTACAGCACAGAGGACGAGGAAAAATGGACCTACGTACTCGCAGCTCTTGGCCGAGTCGTCCTCGTTCTCGAGCTTTTCGTCAGGGTCCCCGTCTTGGGCGTATTAGCTCCGGAATGAGACGGCCACAATTGACCGATGCGATACGGAGCTTACACGACGAGAGAACATTTCCCTGATTCCCCCGCGGGACGGTCTTCCCCGGGCCAGGAATCATCCGAGAGATTCACAGTGAGTGAGAAACTTTGTGAGCATGTCTCTCGAGATGACCGATTGGGTCTCCCCGGAGCCTTGATGTTTTTTGGAGGAATTCGCGCGATAGCCCGAGGACAGCCCAAAGCCCGAATCGATGCAGCGAGTTCGTGCAGGGTACGTATGGATAAAGGAACAATTCCCTCGAGCCTCTCTTTCGGGCCCTTCGAACGACCCAGATGACTCGCGATCCGGGAGCCGGATCCTCGTGCCAACTTCCTTCTCTCGGATCGGCCAAATAGTCTCAAGTAATAGATGCTGCCTGTTAAGTCCTCCTCCTTCTCGACCTCCGGGAAGTTCCGCGGGGGCTGATTGTAATTCACCTGAGGCACGATCAGTGGATGCACAAAGCAGCAGCTTACTCGGTCTCGACAAGACGCGTACCCGCAGGGATTCCTTGGAGTCCCTGGAGTGGAAGTTTTTCGATCAAAGCGTGGTTATCTCGACTGGCCAACGTACTGACATCGGTTGAGAGAGCGAGCGGACGGGGGGGGCATCAACGCCGACGGTTGAACGACTACTCCCATCATTCTCCCGGGAAAGTCGAACCATTCGGATCCAGGATCTGCCCCGGGGGCGCGGGGTCGGTATTCTCAGCGTCCATTGCGATATACCGCCAATATTATCCGTGTAGCGCTTCGCTGGAGGAGTTTCCACGGCGGGACTACACACGTACAGCTCGCGACCGAGCGATCGGAGCGATCAAACTCCCTTGCGATAGGCGGGACTTTTCCATTTGGACTTTTCAAAAGGATGGGAAACATTTTTCTTCGAAGCATGAATTCGGGGCGGGACCAATAAAACCATAAGCCTCGAGGCGATGCAGTCCAACGGCCTTGCGGCGGAGCCCCACTTTCTCCTCGAAAGTGATGAACTTTGGCTCTGCGGGCCACGGAAACCAACTTCTCACAGGTGCTCAGTGAGGCGTATCAAGAAAATCCGCGAGCAAACGAGTGAAAAAGAAGGGCGTTGTTTGCAATCTCGTGTTATTGGAAAAGAACAGATATCGCCATGGATAGGCATGGCTGATTACAGCGTTGCCTCTTGTTGAAAGTTGCCATCACTCGCGGTGAGACGCGATATACAAGGAGAGAGATTGCATTGGGCCCGAAGGGATCTACAATATCGGATGATCATTGTTTCAATATCTCGAGCCGTGGTGTGGCAGGGGGGGGGGCGGCCTCGGGCGAAGGGGGAGCCCTCTCGTCATGGAGGGACAATCACAGAGCTTTCAAAGCGATTCCCCTGCGGAGCTCGAGTGACCTTATTTCAGACAACAATGAGCACCGTACGCTGTGCGAATATTCCATATCATGGAATCTAAAAACGTATCCGACGGAGGAGCCGTAAAAAAACTCCGAGCGTCGGTGGGAGAAGGAAGCGTATTCCGTTGAGATCAAACTGAGCCCTATATTGGATTGGAAAACCAACGGTGGCTGTTTTTCCGCGTGTCCGCTTACTTCCGTTCCTTTCTTCCCCACACATCTCCTCGTATTCCGCGTCTGGAAGGCAACCGGGGGACGCGGCGTTTTCTGCGCGTAATGCGATCTATGCGTCCTGCAGGCTATATCGCATACAGATGGGAAATTTTCGGGCTCGAATTTCCGTCCGAGGATTTTCTCCTTCTTCTGAGCTTTGAAGCCTAGGAGCGAGCGGGGTTCCGGAGTGGAGCAGCTTCGCCGAATATTGCATACGATACTCACCACCTGGATCTTTGCCTCCAACATTGTATCCTGTACGAAAGTGGGCAGCCGGTGGGAAGGCGGCTGGAGGCGGTGGGTGGACCGTCGACGAATGCTGGGAGATGTCTTTTCCCGACGGAGGCGGTGAAGCCGTATGCGAAGTGTCCATTGTAGTCTCAACTGATGACCCGCTATGAGGAGCAGCAAGAAGGCACACTTCTGGAAAGAGAAGCACTCGATTAATGGAAGAGAAATGGATGGAGAAATCCCCAGGGCGAATTTTCCATAAAGTCTCCTCTTGCGAGTGCCGAGGATTCAAGGGCTTTTGTCGAATAGCAGGGAGCTCCCGCTGGCGGAAGAAAGACTCGGCGCGGCCCAAATACACGAGAGGGGCGTCTGAGAGGCCCACCCAGATCTCCGCACGAGCCGTGGATCTTGTAGTGCCAAAGGTGAAGCCGGCTTGACAGCGCGTGTCTCGCTTATGAAAGTGAGCGCGTTCGTTGTCTATCAGACCGGCAAAGGACGGACGGACGAGCGGGATATACGCAGAGATACGGAGTGACATACGAGGAAAAAAGTAGTTGTTGTCAGATCGCTGAAACTTCCGCCAGTCTCTGAATGGCGTAAATCACGGCAATTATCGAAACTTTGTTCTCCGATTGAAAGCTCATGGCGACGCCAGCAAACCGTAGCGAGCGGAGCTCGTTCCGAAGGAGGGGGGCGAGGCGGGTCGGTCTTAGCATCGCTCGACTCCATCGGACAAAAGCGATTTTTTCGTCTATATGAGCGGAACGGAATCAGAGCCACACAATTCTACGGCAGGTAGTGCGCTCTAGCAGCAAATTGGCCTGAGGTCATTTATTTCTAATGCTTGATCACTCGCTTCTTCGCTTTTCTGGTTGAGTTCTCTGTTGGTTTTCCGCTTGGTTGCTTGATCGCCCGGTGAGTCTGCCGTCCCGCACGAACCGGTCGCTTCATCTGTCGGCTCGTGCACCCGTTCGCCCGTCTCTTTGTCGAGCGGACGATCGGATGGTCTTTCGCTCTCGCTCTCGATAGTGTACTCAGCCCTTTTCCTCCCACAGTGAAGAACAGGGGGAGCAGCTGTAACTGCTCTCTGGGCTGTCGGTACTGCTCCTTCTGCGGCAGCTGCTGTCCCCTAAACACACTGGTGGCCAGCATGACCACCACAACGCACACATCGTCGCACATGAAAGAGAACAGACCAGCGGCGGACAGGCCGGCCAGCGAGATCATGGCCCATCATTGCCCGTTCTGACCCTTCTGAGGGTCAACGTGGTCAGCGATAACAAAGCAAAGAGGGGATAAAGGAGAGTATCGAGAAGAGAAGCGGGCGACAGCGAGCCCGGACGGAAAAGCAACTCGGCGTCTTCGCCTCTCACCTAAGGAACCGAGGAGCTGTCTTCGACACAATCCTCAAAGATCCTCGTCGAAGAACTCCGGGATAAGAAAGCGTTTGTCGATAAAACCCTTTTGCCGCTTTCTGAGCCGGTCGTAAATCTCCGGCCATACAGCAAACTGACTCGCTCATCGAACGGAGCCGGCGCGGAGACCGCGTCGTCGTCCGACGCCCAGGACTATCGCACACCTGGCCGATCTGCGGGAGCATCAAACTGTTTTTGTGAATGTCCTTGACTTCCTATCGTCGTGTCCAAACATATTAGGTTCCGGCGAGCGGAGTTGGCACCGTACAGCTTGAAACAAGCCCCGCTGAAGGATTCTTCGCAGGCTGGTCGGACGATTGGTCAAACGAGCGTTTTACTCACTGCCCGCCCTCCCTCGATTGGATTATGGTCGACGGTGACGGCGCGGCGACACGATTGATAACCCGTCGAATACCACCATACCGGATCGGCAACATCAGAAACGTTCCGGGAACCCGTTCGGCTCACTTTCGAGGGGGATTGTCTTATTGGAAAAGTTGATTTAGGCTGTCGTTTCTTCCCGATAGAGGCTTTCGATCGGCCTCTCCTGCGGAAGAGGGAAAAATCCGCGCCCGGACGAAACTCGACCAGCGCTGCCGAACAACTTCGGAAATAGCGCTCCTTATTTTTGTGCTCCGTACACTTCCCGTCCTTCTCCTGAACGTCGTTGTTTAATTTCCTGTTGTCGACGGACGGACGGAGAAATGAAAGAACGAGAAACGGTGGACTCAAGGTAGGCAAGCCGGTCCAGTCGTCCAGCCGGCCATGGATCCGACAACCTGATCGGTCAGTGGGCTCCTTTGGAGGACCTTGAGGAAGTTCGGACAGCGTCGTTGCCGTCGCTTCCGAAGGTTTCCGATGGCGAGGCTGAAAGAGGATGCGATGATTTTGATGCTCTCCAGTCCCCTACAAGCCGGCCGATTGGACGAGCGCCGTGAGAGGGAAAAGTGCGAAAGCTTTCCCGATTCCACTTCGGAAAGCAGACCCACGAATAGACGTCCCGTTTCATTAGTACCATCGTTGACTGCGCTCAACTTTTCTTCTTCAGCCCCCGAGCCGGAGTTTTTCCGAATTTTTTCCGCCGGATCATTCTTCACCGTCGTCGTATCCATTGTCCTCGACAAGCGAACGTCACGAGCGCGACGCGCTGCCGAACCTCACCGTAAACCTCTCTCTTCGTCTCGGTCGCAGTGATAAATCAACATCATTCTCTAAAATTCTCCTCTCCCCGTTCCATAAAATCCGCTCTGGAGGCTCTCGAACCTCTCAAGGGCGTTTCAGACCCTGTTCCAGAGCAGGGGCTTAGAACGCAGAGCAGTAGCAAAAATAACTTTACGACACAGGATCCATTTCGAGAGCTAGTGCGAACCAAGAAACGAACTCTATCCGTATCATGTCAACCACCGTACGTTGTCGATGACGCAGGAACCTCGTATGTATCGAGCAACACGGCGGCTCGCAAGGCGTCGACGAGAGCAGGCCGCGAGCTTGTTGCTTGTCGGCTCGGGATCGCTCGTATGGCCACTCCCCAATATTCAAATATTGGCCCGGTATTGTCCAGCTCGAGGACAAGCAAAATACTCCCTTCTGAGAGGAACATCTTTATCTAGACGAAGTCGTGGCCCGACGTCATATCTTCGTAGACTCCGTCTCCTCCGGCCTGTCGACGGCTCGTGCTGCTCTCGCGGATACCAGGCATCCCGTTAGCGAGAAATCGAAATGTTCCGATCGATCAAATTCTGTATGTCCGTATGTATGTTTGACAACGAGAGTCGACGCCGTCGATGGCACTACGCTCCGTCTCCAGTGTGGAGATATACGTCCTGGCGAGTTACATGCTGTCAAACCAGATGCAGGAATCCGATTCGATGTCGACACGGGCGCTATGAGTCGCTGACTCTGCTCGCGAGAGTGCGTCACACGCTTCAATCCCCTCATGGACAAAATAATGGGTTCGAAATCTACGCGTACCCTTTATTTCCAATTCTTGTTCGGGAGGCAAGCTTTCTCTCGAACGTGAGAAACAATCGTGGAGGAGGACCCGCCTTCAATCCGGAGCTCCAACTTTTTCCAAGCGACTTGCGAAAAGCTCTCGGAGCTTTTCACAATAACACGGCAACCGGGCCGAAGGGAGGCAGCGAGGAAGGATGCTATAATCCATCATCCGGGGTAGGTATCCACGAATTTGCACTCGTTTGTGCCTATCAGTCTGACGAGACATCGTGAGCAGGACGAATTCTCTATCGAATTTCCATACACATTCGCGAGAGCGATAGTTGCAGTAATTATTCGAAAAAGTACACGCAGGACAGTAGCGCTGGTCAACGCGTGATGCGATAACTTTCCCCTCCCCCACGGTGACAATGACGATAATAATGACGGTCCCTCTGTTCGGCGAACTTGATGACTGCGATTCCCATCAGCTAATTGAGCTCTGTAAACTGAACGGGGAGTCGACGTGCTGTCTGGAAATGTTCACGGCGATTAAGGCATTCGGTGAGCACGATCAGACGACAAGGCAACAGATACTGTTTCGGCCCTACGTTCGACTGGCTGAAGCTCTGCGGCTGTACCCGGAGCAAGAGAGGGACGACGGAACCACGAGAGGAAAACGTCTCCAGAATAGAACGAATGGAAGTTTGTTCGCCGCGTTTCCTGTCTGAATTCGTTCCTCCAGTAAGCTCTGCTGTACGCCCCCACGAAGCCGGACTCCGCTGGGGCCCGGTGTTTGTATTTTTCAAGTGTCCATGAAATAGAGGAGTCGTTTGCGACCGGCACAGAGAGCAGCTGCTTCTGCTGCAGCAGCTTCGGAGACTTCCTCGACTTTGCATACCTGGAACATTCGTGACTGCGGAGCGTGGATATGAACCGAATTCGTTGTCGACTTCTTGGCTTGGCCTAGCTTGTTCGTTTATAGTCGACGCGCGAACTCGGGAGAGGGTCAGTGTCAGTACGCAAGAAAAACGGGGCAAGACCTCTGCGATCCCCGGGTTCGAGGGAACTCTGCTACGACTCCGAGAATGCGAGAAATAGAGAATAGAGTTCCTTCGCAACTTCTCGGGCTCGGGTCTGTCAACCTCCTCACTGATCCATTGACCGACCGATCGACCGTCCGTCCGTTCGAGCGACCGGATAGACCCTTTCTCCCTTCTTGGAGCCTCCTTGCTTCTATCGAGGAATGAATCGGCGCTCTCAGGAGCAAGTCAAACACTCTCGTTCACCCGGAGCGGACGAAAAACCTCTGGAGGACTCAGTGATCAATCATAGATCTTGCTTGTCGTTTCAGCAGGCAGCTCAACTGCCCGCTCGTCCCCTACGTTCATCCCGGGGCCCGCTGGCTAACTGGGCCTGTGCCTGCCCGCTCGCCTGATCCTCCCGCTCGAGTGCTCAGACTCGGCCCTCAGGCTTCAGTATGCCCGCTCTCTGCCATCTACGAAAAAAACAGAGCTCTTCTCCTGCTGATGGTGGGCTTGAAAAGTAGAAAACCTTCCGGGGCTGTTTTGATTTCACCTGCCAACCACGCATCAGACCTGCAAGCGCAAAGTGAATTCAATCAACCGATCGCATGCTCTTCCGTGCGCCCGCTCGATCCATTCGAACTTAGCGGGTATTCCATCAACGACGCTTACAACACAGCCGAGGAGAAAGTCTGCAGCTTCTGTTTTCTCGCGCACCGTCGATTCCCCCAGAACTCAAAGAAGCTTTCGGCCTGGCTTGGAAAATTGAA